TCAGTGGATACTTATGAAGGTTCATTGGGCATGATAAGGTTGCCGAAATCCTATATTTGTATGTTTGTATGTATGTATGTATGAATGTATGTATGTATGTATGTATGTATGTATGTATGTATGTATGTATGTATGTATGTATGTATGTATGTATGTATGTATGTATGTATGTATGTATGTATGTATGTATGTATGTATGTATGTGTGTATGTATGTATGTATGTATGTATGTATGTATGTATGTATGTATGTATGTATGTATGTATGTATGTATGTATGTATGTATGTATGTATGTATGTATGTATGTATGTATGCATGTGTGTATGTATGTGTGCGTATATGTATGGGCGTGCAAATGCGTAGGTGACAGTAATTACTGACTTGACATCGTACCAGACGTCTCCGTTGTACTTAACAAAGAAAAGCCGATTTTCTACGGTCACTGAGTGGAAACTCGCTTTCTTCTCGTTCCTGAAAAAGGTATCCGGGACCCAAATTTTCGTCCAGGCTCTGTCGAATTTCAAACTACTATCATCATCGTCAATGTTGCTACTATTACTACTACTGCTGCTACTACTACTACTACTACTACTACTACCACTACTACTACTACTACTACTACTGTTATAAGAGCCATATGTGTTGATGTGGTTTGAGCTACTACTGCTGCTGCTGGTGCTAGCATTATTGTTCAAATTGTTGTTCATCGTCATAGTTGGATCTTGCGAATTAATTAGGTAGATGTTGGTTGAGGTTGTCGTCGTAGTCGAAGTGGTAGCGTTGCTGTCTGCAATGAAGCTCAAGCGCGGATCGTTCCACGATTGTCTCAGGTTCATACTGAGGCTGTAGTCCTAGAATGATGTTGATGTTGTTGCTTTAGCTGCTGCTGTTGTTGTTGTTAGTTGTCGTTGTTGTTGTAGTAGTAGTAGTAGTTGTTGTTGTTATTAGTTGTTGTTGTAGGAGTGTTAACCAATCAGCCAATCAATAACTCAATCAATCACTCAATCAATTCATCAATCAATCAGCCAGTTGATATCTATTATTTAGAACCTTTTATGGCAATAAAAATTTGAAAAATTATTCTCTACAAAAATTAACCATCGTTTGCTCGTTGATAGCATTAAAATTTATAATGTAAATTCCGAGTCTGACTTCTGTTGAGGCGTCTAAGATGGATTGAATGAATGGATTGATGAATGAATTGATGAATGATGGATGGAAGGATGAATAGATAAATGAATGAATGAATGAACGAGAAAAAAAATTAGAAAATGGCAGATAAACAGATCGAAAATAGATAAATGATTTTACAGTTGGCCAGATGAGTAAATGAATTGATGAATGAATGAATTGATGAATGAATGAATTGATGAATGAATGAATTGATGAATGATGAATGGAAGGATGAATGAAGGAATAAAAATGACCAACCAAGTCTAGGCGGGTCATGCTTAGAATATCGGTTCCTCTTCATCAGTTTCAACAAATTTGCACTGTCAACCAGCAATAGACAATTATAATTACAAATAATTATAAATAATTATGATTAATAATAAAAATATTATTATTTTATTATTAGGATTTATAAAAGAAATAGAATCATACTTGGAAAAGACGATATTGGATGTGTGAGATTTGAATATAAAGCAGAGTACATTAAAGATTGATAGTAAGAGCGTATTCATTCTGGCATTATTGCTGTAAATATATTGATAAATGTATCTTTCTTCATTAATAATGATAAAAAGAAGAATAATAATTATTATTATTTTAAATTTTGTTATTATTATTATGGCATATTAAACTTTGAGTTAAAATAAATACTGATTATAAATAATTTTCCTCTAAGCCAAAATCGCATACGCACGTGTATACATACACACATATAAACATACATACAAACATACATACATACAAACATACATACATACATACATACATACATACATAAATACATACATAAATACATACATACATACAAACATACTTACATACATACATACATACATACATACATACATAAGATACATACATACATCAAATAAGCATCTGAAGAAGGCTTGCAGTTTTTTAGGTTATAAGCTTTAACAACAGCAAATAATGTTTCTAAAAATAGATAGTTAAGTAATATGTTATTTTTGTCGTTGTTTCCCCTAGTACTACTACTAATGCTGCTGCTACTACTACTAACCCTAACCCTAACCCTAACCCTACTTCTATTACTACTACTACTACTTCTACTACTACTACCAAACTTTTTCTTCTTCTACCATTACAACAGCAACAACAACACCAGCAACATCAACAACAACATCTACTACTACTACTACTACTACTACTACTACTACTACTACTACTACTACTACTGCAAAGACAAAAACATAGACGGTCAAATACATAGACATAATAGACATGCTGTCTACATACATACGTCATAAGTACCCTATGTAAACAATAAAGTTATTAGATCTTTGTTTTTTATTCTATGGTTTCTATGCTACTCTGGGAATATGTTGTTTCTGATGTATTAACGCTCAGCTCGTCTGCTTTGAAACATGTGTTTTTAGATCTATGGT